TATTCGGGATCTGTTATTGGGGGAAAATTGTGGGTTTAGGAAATTATAGGGTACATCCATCTGCTTTGGTCCTCATGTCCAAATCTCATACCAGACCAGTTTGCTGATATTATACTTTCTCAGCCCTGATCTACACCCCCCCCCACACCCCCACACCCCCCCACCCCCTTATCCCCCACCATTAGGTTCATTTTTTCATGACACAAAAGTCTTTCAAAAACTTTATTCGGTTCAGCAATAGGGGGGGCGGGAATCTCCAGTTTTTATTCTTACCTGCTCAACAGATGCTCTATGTCTTTTTTATGTTTCTGTAAAACAAAGCAAACCCCAGTTTACCACCCACACAAGTTAGTCAAAACTGCAGTTGTTAAATATATTATTTTTATTTATTAAGATCAACATGATGTGACCTGATATGTGCTGAAGAATATTTCTATTCTGTCTGTGCTGAATGTGAGCTCCTCAAGGCAGGAGCTGCAAGAAAGAAACAGAGACACTTAAATTCACATATTTATTATTATTATTTGCTTTTGCTAAGATGTTTTTCTTTAATACCATTCTACAGAAAATGTTAACTCGTAGCGATCGTCGGCTTCCTTTTTTCTTCTAAATGAACATGATATTTGGAAAACTTGGTGTTGAACATGAATCTGGAACTGAAACAAAGAGGTGATTTCCTCATAAATGTTCATAAATGTTTGCTTGTGATACTTTCATCTCGACCAATGGAAAAGCTTCAGCACTGTGACATAAGCGTTCATGGGTGAAAACACACAAACACCATCTGACTGCAAAATATTAAGCTGGCAGAACACAATTCATTCGATCTGCAGCCTATTAAGCAAAGCAAAAAGATTATGCTGTTGTCAGGCAGGAGTTGAAGTCCAATAACACTTTTTCTCCCGAGAAAATCCGAAAGTTGCTTCGATTGATTATAAAGCATCTCATAGAAATGTTTGTTTAGTTTCAAATCTGACCGGAAAACTTGAATTTCATCCATATCTGCGGGAGGCATGGGTTGGTTATCTGTATCAAGGTGAACAAAATGTTTTCAAATGTTTTCCAGTACGGTGGTTTAAGCTGACTTTGATAGGGTCCCACATAAAGCGCTTGAATCGTACGCAACACCGATCCCCTCCCAACTGCTGCTGCTAACTGCCAGTCAGCTGGCTGAAAGAAGGCTTTTACACCTTGACCTTGCTTAAAAGAGGAACAAATATGGCTGCCTGGAATCATTTCCAATCCTAAAAAAAAAAAGAAAAAAAAAAAACTGAAAGTCATGCTATTGAAAACCAAAGAGCACCACCCATTAAAATAATTTAATGTAGCAAACTCAATATATAAATTGAGTATTATTATTGAGTAATATATTATCACAAATTCCACAATCAGGATGTTAAATTAATAAAACAGGAGAAGGAATATTCGGTGCTGCTGTGTTTTAAGCAACAGCAATTAAATCATGTTATTCATTTTCATTTGAATGGTTTTTTTTTCTTTATGTTAAAATGTTCTGATGAAGCCATTTTAATCAGCTTTATACCAGACTGTGAAGTGCAAGATATGTTCCAGCATTTTGTGTATTTCTGTCAAGAAGAATCTAACTTTGGGTCAGATCTCAAAAAACACACACCAACAATGAACGTCTTAGTTTTCCACAGTGTTTCCAAAGCTTTTGGGCTATCTGTTCTGGTCAGATTAAAACTTGCAGACAAATTATTGCCATTTTTTTCCCAAAAATTCAGGAAAAGTTGTGGTTTTGTTTTGGTACGCAAACCCAATTGAGACTCCTTTATTTATTTATTTTTTTTATGTGTGCTGTTTGGCACAGAAATGTCTTTTTCATTTCTACAGAATAGTTTCACACAGTTGAAGCAGAACAAAGGATTTGAGATTACGAATGAAACTTTGAGACACTGTGAAGCGACACAGCAGTCTGTGCCAAACATCTGGTTTTAGAATGAGAAAACCACAAGACAAGTACCAAATCAGACATGAACCAGTCTGCCGTTTTCAATACCGACTTCTGATTTCATTTGAAATCCGATTGCAATTTTTAACCAATTCCAATTTTATTTTACAATTACAAAGCATTTTAACGAGAAAACAGCATCATTCATTTCTGGGGGTTTCTTGACAGAGGCAGCAGTTTTAAATCCATCAGAAAACGATGAGTGAACATAACGAGTCACTGACCCTCACCTGATTTTTATTTTTACAAAAATGGGTCAGGTAACCTGCTGTTGGTGTATGTTGACTGAAAATAATGAGTTTTTAGTTTTGATTCGATTAGTGAAGAGGTAGAGAACTGATTTTCTTCCCCCTAGTGTTGGGTCTCCCTTTCACTAATGACAGTCAATCGCTGATTTATCGATGCTTCTCCATAAGAAACACCTCAATTCTGAAGTTTTCACAGCTGTTGTCCCTTACATGCACAGAGACAGGTGTTCTCATACAAGTTCATGTCAGACGTCCTAAACGTCAGAGTTTTTAACATAAACCACAAAAAGTTTGCAAGCTAAAGTGCAACAGAAACAAAGGTCATCATTGATCAACGTTTAATGCAAAGTCAGCACATTTCCCTCCATTTGTTCCTCTTTTCATACATAATAACTTAACAACATGCAGCCAAACGGTGTGAGCAAGCAACTCCACTTGTTCCAGAATCTCTCTCCTTTGTTGTATTTTTTTTTCCTGCAAAAAGACATTTCTAGTAAAAGAAGATAAGATTCTGCGTCCACTGCTGCAGACCTGCAGTGTTTCATGATGCAACATGAAATATCAGAGTACCTTAAAGCAATCCCATCAGCTCCTCTGATTTCCATACGGGTCTGCTGTTGCCTTACCTTATCGTGGACTTGTCGGCGTTGTGTTTGACCGCTTCCAGGATGAAGGTGGTCAGGGCTGCGTGGCTCTGCTTCAGCAGGATCCTGTCCATGTGCTTCAGCTCGGGCTGATCTGAAACCAGAGGGACAGTGAAGCGAGATGAAGCGTACATCTCTCTTCCTACGTTTGCTGGAATCATGTTGGTGCCAATGCGATCCATTTCCTCTCCTCGGGGTTCTCCCAGATTGACGCGCAGAATGGAAATCAATGACGATTTGCATGTGAATGGACCCCTCAGCTGCATCAGCCGGGAGTGCTGGGGAGGGGTCCGGGGTCATTTCTTTGTTTGGCTGGCGAACATTTCATTTTCTAAACAATTCTCACACTGGAGCGCAAAAAAAAACAAAACAAAAAAAAAACGTCACTTTAATCATTTATTTTTGGTGTAATTTGTAGATTTTATTCGAAAATTAAAGTCGACCAGCAAAAACAGAGCGGGCTAAAATATGTGCAAGATTAGATCGTCCATTTTATGTTAAAATACTTCAATCCCAAGTGATTGTTACTGAAATACTTCAGTCTGATGATCTTGTGATGTGTTATGTAGCCCTGGTGGCCGTTTAAGAAGCAACAGAAACCCCCTCAAAGAGCGCGTTAACACCTAAAACTGCGCTCCCAGCTCGCACCACACGAGATTTTTTCTTCTTTCTTTTTTTTTTTACGTGAACGTGTATAATCCAGGACGCTACAGTTCCGTCAAAACCCGCAAACCTCGAGTCTAGACACAGAGAAACCGGAAGAAGGAGCGAAGACAAAAGCGGCGGCGGTGGCGGGGGAGAGACATCGGCTCACCGAGGACTGTGGGGTCGGCCCGGGAGGAGAGCAGTCCCCGGAAGGAGACATCTAGCAGCACCTGAAAGCTGCTGTGGTTCACGGTGGACTGATCGGCCAGGAGCTGCAGCCCCTTCTGCACAGACTCGCTTAACTCCATCTTGCAAAAGGGCGAGTCACGTGACGGATCAGCTGATCCATCGCGTGGAGTAGAGAGCGAAGGCGAGGCAGGGAGAGAGAGAGAGAGAGAGAGAGAGAGAGAGGAGGGGGAAACATCCATAAATCACCGAGGCTGTCAGCAGCACACAGCTCTCAGCTGTGGTTTTCTGATGGCTGAGGCAGCTCGTCTATGGTTTGTTTAATATGCTCGACACATGCAGCATTGAAACGTTAAAGGCAAACAGGAAGAACAAACAGGTGGTTTCCAGAAATAAGTCGCTCAAGTCTTCATCACCCAATCAAAATAATAATAATAATAATAATAATAAAATAAAATTAAAAAAAATACACAATGCATCTGTTTCTGCAGCTGTATCTGTCTGATAAGGGCGCAGATTAAAAACGGGTGACCTTCCCTATACCTGGCGCGCTGCAGCGTTGACGTCTTTCCGTCTCAGTAATGAAAACATTCTCTGCTCTATTTATTTTTATTTTCAAATCACACAGAAGCAGATTTGAGATCCTTTCCCAATGTGATGTTTAAAGCTTGAATGGTGCATCCGCTGATTTATACGTTACTTTGGTTTCCTTTAACTCGGCATCTAGTGACACGTCCAGCTCAACAGTGACTGGCTGGCTACAGCTGGAGGAAATGACTTTACGATCAGGTGAAACTGTACCAGCAGCACTGGCTGCAGGTGGTATGGGTTCTCAAGCTGAGTTAAATTTGGGGCCCCTCTTCCTGTTAGAAGCATCAACCCCCCACTAACAGCGTTTACTTACGGGGTTAGGACGTCGATTAATTGGCTGAGCTTATAGACGCAGTCTTTGGTAGTTGGTTATTATTTGTCAAGATGTGACTTGTCGTCAAACCGAGCTCAAAACACAAAGACAAGTTTGAACTCTTAGTATCAGATTGTTACTATGGGAACACAATAATCAAACAGTGGAGTTCAAGTCAAATAGAAAGGTAATCTTGCCAGTTCCTTTAAATTCTTATCAATTTAAAATCTTTTATTTTTTCTGTGCTGAAAGCATCAAATCAAATTCACTCCTCAAATACACTCCTTCTCAACAAACCAGTGTAAAAACGTGCATCCATGACCTGAGTTCAAATTCAAGCCTTTCATTGAGATCCTGACGATTTAGAATCTCTAAGCGAGGGCTTAGTTTGCTTGTGCCTTGGGCTGGCACTGCATGTGAATGTTTTCTTCCTTCTGTGTGTGGTTAGATTTTCCCTCTGGGATTGAGTTTCATCTTTATGTGCTGTTCCTGTGAAAACGCTGTCCGGAAGAAAACAAAAACTGTTTAAAACAGGCTACGTTATTATACTTTATGTTATTGGAATATTATGGGTGGTTTTAAAACAGCAGTTATAATGGTTTAATCACTGAGCTTTAATGATTTAATCCAAAAATATATGAACTATTTTGAGGGGAATGTATTAAAATAAAACAGAGATTGTCTGTCACTTTAGCACTTGGATGAAAGGCAGTTCTGCAAATCCTAATTTGATGTTACAGAGCATTTTTGATTCAACAAAACAGCATAAAATCTTAATGATGCTCGTAAATTGTGGATCAATTTTGAAAATTATATGATTGCACGTTTTTGTGAAGATAAAAGTTTTGCTTATAGCTACTTTTTTTTTACACAGCCTGTTTTTGAGAACGCAAAGCAGAACTTGCAAAAAAAAAAGTGAAAGTGACATTTAATGAGTTGGAAGGAAAACGATTTTAAAACGTTACTGGATATAATGTGTTATATAGTCTGCAATGAGTAGAGCAGTCGTCTAATGGTGTAATTAATGTCATTGCATGCATTGGTCTATTTTCGGTTATCTGACACCTCAGCGATCATATTAGTCATCATTTTCACATGTGACTGTGCAGTTTTCACGTTATGAGAGAGTGAGGGGGACTTCACAGGCATGACTGCAGCTCACTTTGAGATCTACACGCAGCAAACAGTCTGGAGCAAAGCTTATGACGTCCGGCACTGTCCTTTAAAATCCATGTTTTGAGGGATATGAGCGACTTTTAAAGAAAAGTAAAATGTACTTATTTAATTCTTATGATGTGGGGAAATATATGATAATCTTGTGGGATCTGTGGGTGTAATCCGGCTGGTAGACAGCTTTAGTTTTCTCCTTCTTTGTGCTCAGCTTTGATGAGCTACTTTGCTTGATCGTTTCTTCTGATTTTCTTTCTCTTTTTTTCCCAGCAATTAACGGGTTAAAACCCCACTGGGGAAACTGACCCGTCTCCCTAAATTGCACATGATCGCCGTCTTATGGCGGACTCACGCCGTTATTTAAAGCTGCATGCTGTTTTAGAGATGAGGTAATGTTATAAATGACAGATAATGGTCGGGATTATTATGGAGGAATTGAGTGCTGCAGCGTCCTGCTCGGCCACCCCCCCACACACACACACACACCGCAGCAACTATCGGTGTGACCTCTGACTCTGCGCTTTGTCCAAAGTCCATTTTGGCTCCAGGTTGTGAAATAGATTAGCCTCCTCTGCCTCTCTGTCTCTCTCCTTGTTGGTGTTTGTTGGTATTTGTGTGTGTGCGACACGTCTCTCTTTTCGCAGCATTCCCATTATTTTTGAACCTCTTTGTTATCTGGTCCAGAATTCCCATACCGGTAATTATGCAGATTGCTGGCAATCTGGAAAGGCGTTTTTGGCGTAGATTTTGTCATTACTTTGATCAAATCTATTTTTTATTTTTTATTTACAGAGCTCACCTGTGTTACTCATATTCAAACGGTGAATCATTACTAGACACAGTGAGTGTTGTAGCCAATGAGGTAAGGACGCAGATAATTACAGATCATTTGTGGTGGTCACCTGCTATCATGATAGGTTTTGGGATAAGATCACGCTGCAAAATTTTGCAAAAAAAAAAAAAAAGAAAGAAAGAAAGAAAAAAGCTACTCTTTGGCTAGATCTGCATTCCCCAAATTGCTCAAAGTACAACAATGGTTATGGCTGTTTAGATAAAACTTCCCTTTAAGAACACGCTGCACAAGTCAGTAAGGAAACCACAACAGGCAGCGCATGCTACTTCCTGGTTCAGACGAGATGCTTTTCGATTTTTATTCGACAGCTATGATGAAATACTTTCATCATCGCTGTCTTTTTGGTTAAATTAAACTGTACAGAACTATATAAAACAAAGGTACAGACGAGTTGTTTCTGACGCATTTTTTTTTTCAAAGCATGACTCAATTATTATTATTATTTTTTTACTTTTTTATTTTTAGAAATCGTTTGTTCAGCCTTACTCCTGAAGAAATTTTGAGTTGCTGGATTCTTTTTTTTTTTTTTTTTTTTTTTTTTTTTT